CCACAGCTAAAATTCTATACCATAATGCAATTGGCAATACCCCACTTCATGTAAGAGGTAACAGAGAATGCCCTATTTGACAGTGGTTCGATTTTCGCGCTTTCCTGGGGATTCAAGAGCTAGTAAACAAGAGAAAAACAAAAGTTATCATTCCCGTTGCCATGGCAACGCGATTTTTATAGATCACCTCGTCCAATAAAGTGCCTCGCTGACGTTAAATTATTAAAAATAGTCAAAAAATTCATTTGTCAATGGAAAGGTAAATAGTAAAAGATGTGTATTCCAACGAAAATTTTTTTCCCATTTTTCCACCAAATTTCAGGTAGACCCCCGCCTTAATAGGGTGAGGGTTTTGGGAGGTGGGCCGCACACCCCCACCCATTTTTTCGGGAGTACCCCCCCAGGAAAGAGTGTCTGCGCAGGACTGGGAGGCTAGAGTTGCAGCGGATCATCTGCCGAATTGAGAAATCGAGAATATGACCCTGTTTATTTGGACTCGCCATGCATACACTTTCGGACCGCGTTTTCTATAGCTTCCCACGGGGCTCGTCGCGCGTTCCTTCCTTTCGTGGGGAGGAATGTGGGACAAGCCCGAAGAACTTCAGCGTGGGAGACTATTTTCTGTCAAACTATTTTTGTTTTGCTCCCAGTTCCCTCGCTTTTCCCAGTCAACTGATCACAGTACTGTTTCGAAAATCTTTGTCGTATCTGAGGGGAGGTATATCGGTCGAACTCGTCATGGAAGCGAAAATTAGCTCGGGGCGTCGGGGTTAGAGATCGCCGATAGTAAGTGACTGAAAAACTGATATCACGAGGAAAAATGATTTCAGTTTGAAATGGCAGAAAATTCGAAATAGCCCAGCTCGACATAGCGATGTTCAATTGTAATCTCTCGCCAGGGAGACTGGCCGCTAGGATACAAGGTTGTAAAATGGAACAAAGATGTCATGCGCTGGGTCGGAGGGCAAGTGAATTGAAGCCATTAGCTACTAATCAACTTGAAGTCAATGACGATAAATTAACCGCACGCCATAGCGGAATTGTAAAGCTGATGTTTCTAGAGTCAGCCTCACTAGAGCCAAGTGGAGGATTGTGGGTTGTATCAGAAGCCGTATTCCTGGTTTTATGTAAGCGGTGTGTAACCATGGTTACATAGTAAAGTATGGGGTTACGCTATGGAGGAAGCATGGCTTGACGTTAGAAAATAAACGAATGAAAATAGAGTGTGTGGTAGCTCAAGGTGAACAGACTTTTCTTTCTGAAATTCTTCCTTGAAGGGATCACTAGTGGAACCTTCCCATTTCATTTCTGTTTTAAGCAACCGAAACGTTCCTACAACTCGTGAGAGGCCCACATGTGGACTAACGACTGAAGCACGTGATGTTAAATGGCTGTATCCAGATCGACACGTGTGTTCTTGATAGTTTGGTCATTGTAATTTTTTTTTTTTTACCAAGAAAATCATTGCTAATAGTCGAACGAAAATATACTACTAACTGTTTTACAATGAGCAGTTTTATTTACTACAAGCATAAGGTTTACAAGCATAGTTACTATAATAAAGCTTCATAGCTGATGGCGATTATACTAAATTCAATTAAGGAATTTACTGCTAGGCTTATTTTCTTTTTATTCAAGAGCTTAACTTAATGGATTGAACTTACGTGGGTCCAGAGAAGGAACAGAGCAAGCGGTTTTTAGAGCGATTTTCTCAGTCTAGGCCCTGTTCAAGTCGCGTTCTTACAAAACTGGAAAGCAAATAAACCCAGAGATGATACGAGCCAAAAAATACCTTGCTTGAAATATGGACCTCATATTACCTCTACAGTTCCCTAAATTTACTTGTTACATGTAAGCGAAAAAATGAAATAATAATTACAAAAAACAAACAAACAAACAAACAAACAAAAAAGACCCTAACAGCAACAGTAACAATGTAGGCGTCTTAGCTAAAACGGATTAAGAGAATTCAGTTTAAATCAGTCCTTTGAAATCCATATGTTCGCCACATTTTCTCTGCAACTTTGCGAGAAAATCTTTGTTATCCTTGTTCCACTTTTGCACAAATGCTCGCTGAGAGAGGATAAGACCCGGTTTGGGGACTTCCTCTCTGGATTCAATTACAACATTACCCACCAGGATGAAAGTCTTGCCGGGTAGCGAAGGGCAGGGGCAGTCTGGTGACTTATCATAAGGGACACTGACGACCGCGTCCCCCTCAGGAAGGGACCCATTGGTGTTCTTTAGCACCTTATTTATTGCAACCAAATAGCGGACATGTTTCTTTGCCGGGTCTTCTGGCAATATATTCTTGACCTTGGCGATAAAGGCTGAAAAACAAAACAAAACAAAAATACTCTGTACAAATCAGTCAAACTTGGCAGGACACCATTTGGGCCTATACAAACTCAGTGCGCAAAAAACGTGAGAAAGTAAACCCTGAATAAAAATACAAGCGGACTTGAAGATCAGGTTCTTTGAGTCCCTTTTTGCATAACTTCATTCTCGTCCCCAGAGCTACTCGTCGTAAAATGTCGTTGACGAGTAGATCGCGACCACGTGACCAATCGAAACGGAGGCTCTGGGGACAAGAAACGCATAACTATGGAGAGCAGGGGTGGCGCAGGCAAATGTAGCTTGGCTTCGATTCCGGCCTGGTGCCATATATGGGTTGAGATTTATGAGGGTGAAGTAAGAGTTTTCTCCAGCCGAGCACTCCGATTTTCTTCCCTCTCGAAAAACCAACATTTCAAGATTCCAATTTGACCTCAATAATGGACCCCTGCGAAAACCAGCTGGACTGATGTGGCATTGTGAGTTCAAGACCCTCGTTTATTAACCTCGAACTTGACATGTGTAGCTTGGAAGAGGTTTAGCATTCATACCTAGGATAGATACTTACATGCGTAACTAAGTACAAAGGTTCTGGCTTATTGGTGAATTGAGGTCTTAGACGATGCTGCTAATAAAATACACTACAGTGTAAATAGTCCCTCTTTCGCTTAGTCCGTTGTTTTCCTCGGGGTTTATTAACGATCACGCCCAACGGACTAGGCGTAAGAAGGACTACTCGTAGTCTACTTATAAAATTCCTTTCGTCACTTGTTTCGTATACTTTGATGAACATTGTATCATAAAAAAACGCTGACTCTCAATTTTAAAGGATAAATCGCGAGAACCCGTTGACTTACCAATATTACTTCCTCGGCAAACCCCGCCGACTTTCATTTGGACACACTTCGGGCAGTTTTCACTTGGTTTAGCTGAAAAACAAAGGCAGCACGTGAGGCTAAAAGATATAAAACAACTGAGAATTTTTGTCACTTTTTCCCCCCTGTTATTATTGGGTTTTCATGCAATTTCGTGACATCAGGTAGGTTTGGATACGCAGTTGATACTTCAAGATCATTTGTGTTGTTCATTACAAAGAAGCGGTAAAATACAAACAAAAACCTCAGTTGGGAAAGACCAAGACATGGAGTAGGAGACAAGACGTGAAATAATCGAACATTAAGTGGAAAGAAGAAATCAATATAACATAAAACTTTAAGAAAAGGAAAATCGTCCAACAAAGAAACAAAAATGCAAACAAAGCAAAAGATCGCACAAAAGAAGCAAACAAAAACCTCTTACCTTTAGGTGGGCATCGCTTATTGCATTTTTCTTCTGTGTCAAAGTTATTTTCATTACCAAAACAGCCTCCATATTTGAATTGCTTGCAGCGTCCTGCTTTTGAGTGAAACGCCCATCGAATTGTCTTCTTCTCACAAGGTCCTGTGTCAGCTGGCTGAGCACACACATCCACTGTATGGATAACGTAAAAAGCTGAGCTATTGAAAATTAAATATTGTTTTATCGAATTCTTATTTTACAATCTAGTGAAAAACACCATGCTCACCATGCAGAATGTTACTCACAGGACTTAATGCAAATTTGATTCTGCCGCAATATACAATGTATAGTCAAGAAGTAAAAAAGCTGGAAATAGACAGGAAATATTCTAACATATTATTCGTCATAACTTCAATAATCAGTTTAAGCGAGTGAAATTTCCAATCAATAATTGGATATTTCAGTTGATGGGTGTTGACTGATTGTGCGACTTCATCACTGAAGGAATCTTCCATTGTCTGTTGTTGAGGTATATGGAATATGGAGCACTTAAATAAAGAGGGTCCTAAAGGGGGCGTCGAGGGGGGCGGGGAACCAATCCCATTTCCCATCCCTTTTTTTTTTCCAAATCGCAATTCCCAAATTCCATTCCTACAAGCAGAATTAAGACCAAATCGCAGTGTTATACATACCAGCTCTTTTCCCTTTGCATCCGCAAAATTACGGCTTCCAAATATGACCAAGAGATTATGATAATCTCCTGATACGACCCAACAAAGACCCAAAAATTTACAAGGATTTGCGAAGATATCCTGAAGACGATAGGATCCTTTTAGGCTGTACTAAAAAGTAACGCGCAAGTAGTAAGTCTTTCAACGAATTCAAATTGACTGGTTTTAAGAACTCTTCAGTTTCATATAAGTTCACAGGCAAAGTTATCGCCCCGTCTATTGAATAATCTTGTCCGACGTTTCGTTGTCTGGCGGATTTACCATGTATCTTAGCTCACGACTTCATTTCAGCTTGCTTGTTTCTGGTAATCTCCTGTAGGGTTGGCTTTGGAACTTTGATTCGAGGCAAGGAAACTGCATGTGATGTTGGCAGTTTGTAATTTGAATGTGGATGTCTCTAGTAGGCTGCTGCCTACTTAGAAACCCTCTTCCCTACCTCTTCAACTGCCGGCCAAACATTATCGTATATTTGCACAATGGGAAAGGGCCTCTCTTAAAATGTGGACCCTTTATAAAGCAACGAACGAGGAAAGGATAATCCAAATCAACGTGACTGCACATATATAATTATAGTCCCTAATTAGTGAATGCGCAAAACACCATAACAAATGCCACACTGATCCTGCGTGCATACCCTGAAAAACAATCATATATATATATATGCTAGTTTGAATGACTACTGAACTGTAGATACAAGGACAACCTTAAATCAAATGTAGCTAAGGCTTCATGTTTTACCTGAACAAGTGCGGTTGCAATCTTCTATAGTGGTGAAGCCATTCCAGCCACTTGGGTGGCAGCCACCGGCGACGATCGGCTCGCACGCATTGGTCTCCAAGTTGAAATAAAAGTTTCTAAAATACCCCCTGCAATTGCTGGATGGAACGATTTGACAAATTGCTCCTGTGAATAGATGCAAATGAAAATTGGAAACAAATAGTTGAGCTAGGCCATACTATCGACAAAAAATTGAGAAACCAAAGCAGAAGCTGAAAACAACACAAAAAAAAACAAACAAAAAAAACAAACAAACAAACAAACAAAACGAATGAACAAACAAACGAACAGTCAGAAAGACAGACAGAAAAGTAAGGAAAAAAGAAAGCACAAAACAACAGCTGCAGCAACAAAAACAGGCATACCTGGAGTGCACGGACCATCTGCAGTCTTCTCCATCTCTTTGCCTTGTCTACAAGCTGTCGCCTTCATAATGCAGTCATTATTGTAATTATTTGCATCCGAGCCACACACTGGTTGGAAATCAGCTGGGCATTCCAGGTTATCACGACAGACACATCTGACGCCATTGCTGCTGTCATAAACGCACTTCTCCCAAGCTTTACAAGACACACCCTCGCAGCGATCTGTTAAGTTCAAAGGAAATACCTTAGTTATGCGGAAGATACATTGATGTAATGAACAGAAGCATGGAGATTGTTTAACACACCTTTACACAAGGGCACCATATCAGACCACTGACCATCTGAACGACAGGTTAGCTTCGATTCTCCATCCAGCTCGTAGCCTTCATCACAAGAAAAAGTTACAATGCTGCCAATACCAAAGTCGTTACCAGTTCTTTTTCCATTCCTGGGAGGAAGGACATCGAGATCCCAACAATAGGTGACTGAGGTTAAATGAAAAACTCAAGTTAAGTCTAAGGGTTATGTAATCCAGATTTGGTATTTCACTTTCTAAAACTACTGTCATACAACGGGCGCTGATCGGTGGTGAGATCACAGATCTTCATAAAGCAATATGCGCTATATGCGCATACCACGATGGAAACACTCTAGAAAGTTTCAAGGAATTTGAAAGTGCTTCCTTTATGAATGTACTTAATTTTTACTGCTCGGCTTTTTACAACTCGGATTTTTTTCGGGTGTTTCGATCAAGCTAAGTTAATATGCACGCTTTTTCCTATTTCATTTCTGCTGCACACCGAATTCCAAGAGACCTGTGTTTGGGATCTTTTTTTGCCCAGTACCTATTTGAAGTGGGGATTGTGCTTGCCATCCTCTTGCAAACTAAACCCATCAATCATAAAGCTAATACAGTAACAACAACTGTCCCCTTCCATCCAACAAGTCGCTCTTAGATTCAGTCTAAAACAACATTTCCACTTACTCACGCAAGTTGGTTGTTCTCCCGTCCACTCTCCGCTGGGCAGACATTTTCGTTTACTTGTGCCATTCAACTTGGTATTAATCTCACAACCAATCTCCACTTCTGTCCCTACAATGAATTCCTCCAGTCTGTCTTCTCTAAAGCCCTTCTCTGGGCTTCCTGGGTCTGGGCACGTTGCTACAGTAGCCACAAGAAAATAGGGAATTATAAGAGAAATCGGTGGGATTAACTGTGAGATCTTTGCACGTTCCCTTATATACTAAATTTCCAAAAAAATGAAAATAGAAGCAATCTAGAGGCTCTTGAGTTAGCATGCTGAAGCAACATGTTACAGTTCGTTTACTGAAACCGTGGCCACCAAGACGATGAAAACCAATCAGATAGCAAAACTAAAACAATAGATTCCAACATTTTCAAAGTGGACTTGTTTTGTACCAGACATGTTGTTTGCTGGATTTGACATGTTGGTATCTATTGTTTCAGTTCTGCCATCTGATTGGTTTTCTTTGTCTGAATGGCCCCGGTTTTAATAAACGTTCTGTAAGGCTCAGTGGTCGATCTGATAATTTCCGACGAGAGGAGATTTTATTATTCGTCAGATTCAAGATTCAATCGTATCGCTTTCTATTACGTGTTGCGGCAATGCGACAAGATGCCAGGAGTAACATGCAATACTGAGATATATATCCTATGCAATATTGGCCATCTTACCCGGAAGTATCAATGATTACCTACCACAAAACGTCGGGGGATACAAATTGCGGATAGACTCGACAGCCACTATTCCTTCGGTTACTTGTTTGTCCTCGAAGGTGACAGAATATTTGTCGCCATTGATAGCGTCAATTCTAGCGAAGGTGTACTTTCCAGTTCGCACGTGTTTTGCTATGACTCGGGTTCCCAAAAAGACGTGCCTCGGAGACGGAAGAATGTCCTCTACCATAATGTAATGCTGCGTCCCTTGTCCATAGATCACGATGTCCTTTTCCTCATCAGAAGATTCTGTCAACACTGTGACGACGTTTTCGCGTTTTTCCTTGACTAATCCACGTAGAAAACGAACACCTTTCCTGATGAAAACAGGCGTGTCAACTCCAGCGCACGCTGTTAAAAAAGCCAATAAAAGAAATGATAATCCAGTAGTTGTAAAAAGGTCATTCTTTCGTGTTGTGATGTGTCCACTACTGACTAATATGTACAAGACTGACACGTATTGTGAAGGCAAGTCGAAGAAAAGCGTGGTAAGACAGGCCATAAAGAACATCACAAACGAGAGTAAAGCAGAGAAGAGGGGAAGGGGAAGAGAAAAAAAGTTTAGAAAAGACGAGAGAAGAAAAAGGCTGTAACAAAAAAAAANGGTGAAAACGCCGTTTTTCAATTTCTCCGGCGTAGTGTGGACGAGGCTTCAAATACTTCAAGAAAAATTTCATCAAAGCAACTATAAAGCGAAGAAACAAAAAAAAACAAAAAAAAAAAAAAAAAAAAAAAAAAACTAAGAAAGCTATGGAACATTCAGAGGTTATTTACCAACGCAATACGGCTGTACCCCAGTCCACTCCCCTTCACCATCGCAGCTCCGCTCGTGAGACCCATATATGATGTACCCTTTGTTGCAGCGAAAAGAGACTTTCGCGCCATACTTGAAATCTTCGCTTCCATTTCTTGAACCATACTGCGGTATACCAGGGTCTGCACAGGTTATTACTAAAGCCGTGATTGAAAATTGAACTATAAGTTTGATTTGTCTGATAATTTCCATATTTTTGATGTGATGGTGATGCCTTTGTAATGATTGTTACCTAACTACCCACCAGTTGCCGGTCAATGCGTAGATACCAAACATCACCTTAGTTCCTAATATTACATATTCGTCCTCTGCATTAATTCGTGAGAACTTACTTGAAAACCACAAGCATCTTGAAGACACTGAACTTTGAGAGAACTCAGCTCTAAAACACTGGTTCAATACAACTGAAATGGAACATACCTGTACAAACGGGAACTTCACCAATCCACTCTCCTTGTTCTCCACATGCCAAATTGTCTGGTCCTTGCATTTGGTAACCTTCGTGACACGTGTAATGCACGTGCGCTCCGAACACGAAGCCGCCGCCGAACATCTCCGCCTCAGCCACCGCTGGCGGGTCCTCACACGTGATAGCTAAAGTCAAAATAGAACAAAGAGAGTCATAGAAAGTAATACTTCAGGGATCTAATGCGGAGAAAAATAGAGGAGACAACTGACAATGATTATATATAACAAACAACAAATACTGTCAAGTGTGTATTACAACCAAAGGAGAATTATCATGCCGACATATTTTTCAATTACATTGGATTAACTGTTTACAGAAAGTGCTTATGAAAATGTTTTAAGACGTTTCGGGAGAACCACTTCTTCGATTGATGAAGGGGTTTTTCTCGAAACGTCTCAAAAAGAAAATTTTCCTAAGCACTTGCTGTTGACAGTTAATCCAATGTATTTCAATTCAAAGTGCCACACAGCAACAATTTGTTTTTATTTCTAAATGTGATATTTTTCCATTAGCCTTTTTGCAGGCGTTCGGTTAGTTGGAGGCGGCAAGAAAGGTGGTTAGAAAAAGAAAATAGGTGAAGTGATATGTGCGACTTTAGTCCAAACACTTTAAGGTAGACTTTTTTTTTGGTCGCGAGACTTTTTCCAGAAAATTTCGGTGCAGGCTAAAATTGTACTAGGTAGATAATCTTACGTTTGCAAATCGGCTGTGTCTCGCTCCATGTTTGATTGGCAAGGCAGGTTCTTGTCTTGGGTCCTTCTAGCTCATACCCAGGCAAGCATGTGAAATTGACGGTGTTGCCAAACTGGAACAACCAGCCTTCACGTTTGCCATTAACGGGAGATCCTGGATCTCCACAGCTTACGGCTGATAAAAAGATGAGTGATGTTAAGTATGGGATGAAGGAGACAGTAAAGTAAGGAAACCAAAAAGCAGACAGACAGACAGATAGAGGAACAAACAAACAAATACACAAACAAACAAACAAACAGACAGATAGACAGACAGACAGATACACAGACAGAGGAAAAAACAAACAAAAAAACACAAACAAACAAACAAACAAACAAAATAAACAGATATTTACAACAAGCAAGTAAATAAACAAAAAAACAAGGAGTATTTTGAGAGCAATTTTTTCCACACTTACCTACGCATGACACATCAGGTTTAGTCCACTGTCCATCTGATTGACATGTGATTGTAAATGGTCTTCCAAGTCGAAAAAAACCTTCTTTACACAAGAACTTGACGGTTGAGCCAACTGTGTTGTTTCCCACTGTTATAGCATTTTTAGGAGCTTCTGGGGCAGGGCATGTCTTGGCTATACAGAAAACAGAGAATACAGATAATTTATAGACAGTGATTGTATTGCTATTTATTATCTAACCTCACGAAGAGGAGTACAAATAATGCGCAAAGCGATGAACTAATATTCTATCGTGTTTGTACCGTGCGAAATCAGATTTAAAGCATCAAGGCCTAGGTTAGTTGCAAGTTCTAACACAGTTCATAGCCAGATTTTCGAGAAACAAAAACCTTGGATAATTTAAGTCATTTTAATATCGCTGATTGGCCATTTTAGCGTGCAGTGTTTTGCACATTTTAGACTACTAAAAACGTACAATTTCTAGTAATTTTATCATTTCTAGGAGCGCTAATCAATATACAAGTTATTTCACGTAGAAGAGATCCTCGATNATTTTAGACTACTAAAAACGTACAATTTCTAGTAATTTTATCATTTCTAGGAGCGCTAATCAATATACAAGTTATTTCACGTAGAAGAGATCCTCGATTCAGGATTTCAAATAACGCGTTGAATAACTTTGGTTTAGATTGCTGGAAAAAGACCCCCTGAAAACTACTCAAAAAAAGGTCAAAATAGGAAATTGCTTTTATGAAACGTTTTCACGCTGTATATTAAGACTTCGAGAGTGTAACAAAGAAAAATACATTAAATATTTTCCTTCTAAATACTGCAAAAACTACAAATAGCAGCTGGTTTACTTAACTTGTGTAACGGGGCTCGAGCGTGACATAACATGTTTCGATTTTACTGCCTGCGTTACATTCTTCTTCACACCCTCAGGACCCCAATGAAATCAGCAAAACCTCTGCCCATCCCCGTAAGGGATATTTGTCCAGTAAGGGACTCCCGGTCAGGCAAACTGCGCTATCTTACCCCAGGTATACCAGGAAAAATCGTCTTGTACCCTATCCCACACTAGAGTGTAAAGAGGTGTCTTATCTTCGGTTATGTAAACCAGACGTTCGCGGAAATTAAGGAACAACAAACCCGGCTGGATATCTGGAGAGTTCCAATTTCGCAATTATGATACTTTCTTTATAGCGTCACGTCAATTCGTCTTAAAATTGCAAGATGGTAGTGTTCTTTTCAGAAGTCTGAACATTCAAGAAATACTGTACATGTACTTTAATATAAAGTCGCTTCTTAACGACAGACGAGGCCGATTTGAATTTCAAATGCAATGAAATCAACAAGAAAAGAATATGCATCGCCATTGAGTGTTGATCTACTTACCTGGGGTTTGGTCTTGGGCTACGGCCAGTTGAAGCAGAAAAAGACAAAAAGCGTATTTGCAGATACGATGCGTGTTGTCACCGTACATTCTGTTTACGAAGACGAAATGTCTTTTGAAGTATCTCTATTGCGTCTCAGCCGCAAGGAAAGGGAAACGTGCACGAACGTGCTAAAGAGATTTCTACCTTTCAGCACCTCTAATCCAATTGCTTGTCAGCTATATCCTTGCTTTGACAACTAGCCAACTGTTTCGTGAGGAAACAACAGATGCTTTCGCTCTGGATTTTCAACAGGAAGTCCAAATTCATTAATTAGTCAGCGAACTTTCATTGAGAACGAAGTTTGTTAATGTTACGAGAGCCAAATCAGCTGAGATTGTAATTAATCAACTTTTTCAACCCCCGCGGCTTATCTTTTTATAGCTATTGGGCAATTTGCGTCGTCATTCATGAACTTGGCTGTTTAGTGGGGGTCTTAGTTGGCCCCTTCTTGATCTTGCACTGTTATCGTTCGTTTTCTCTCTATAATGTAAGAAACGAATTGCTGATCCAATCAGCACGAAGCAAAAATGGATTTTAGACGTTGCCTACAAAGCATGGAGAAGAAAAAGCGCTAAAGAAAGCGAGGAATATATTTTTTTTTAACACAGGAAGCAAATAACTCTACCGACCTTTTTATTTTTGAAGCGTCTGAGAATTTGACCTTCTTTCCGTTGAAACGTTAGCTCAAAACAGATCAGTGTGCGCGCACGCTTTTGTCTTTGGCAGAAGTTCAACAAATTCATCTGTGCAAGCAACATTCGATCGCATCGCCTCAGGCGGATAAAAGAAAACGAAAGGATTCGCCACAGCAAGACGCTGCTGCGGAAGTTGAATAACAGATATTTGCAAGTAAAACCTAATCCAAAGTTTCATCAACAGAGCAAGATGTTCTCGAGATATGAGGTAAGATGTATTTCTAGGTCTCCTATAACAAACGTATTGGGATTAACAAAACAAGCAAAAAAACGTACACACTAAATTAAAATACTAACCAGAATTACTAGGTCATTTACGTGATATCTTGAAGTTTCTCTTTCTTAGAAACCTGGAAGCCGAAACAATTGAAAAGGTCGTCAAAGCAGTTTTTGAAAAGGATAAGTTAAGACAAAGCGGAGTCGCTTATCAGAAGAATCCACTGATTACAATTTGCGATAATAATAATTCTTCATAATATAAGTGTTCAAATGTTGATATTGTTCCTCTTGATTTATCCTGCACGGGCGCGTTCGACGTTCGTTCAGAGTGATCTAATTCAGTGTCTAATTAAACCGGAATGAATCCAGTGGCATTTTTTCGCATCAAATGACAGGAAAAATTTTGAAAACAGCATATGTCTGCGTGGAAATAACAAGTTTGATCTTAAGTAAGTAGGGGAAGAATGCTCCGGTAGATAGCTATCTACTCAGTCTCCACGCTTATTAAAGTGTAATCTTTTTTGAAGTTATAAAGTCTGAGAAGGAAGCATGTTATAAGAACTTTCAGAAGTCAAAAGAGTATCGATTTTCATTGCGCAAATAACATTTGTTTTTACTCCAATGCTGATGTAAGCTGTAGTAAAGATGCACCTATAACATTAATACCAGGTTAACCACTTTCCGCGCGCATTTTATTTCCTTCGTTGAAAGAGATGTTAAGATTGTTGATCAAGTGTTTTGGCTGTTGCTACTTTTGCCGCTAATTTTGTCCCGTGCCTCGCACCTCTTGCATGTGATTTCTTATACATGGTTAAAATGCTCAACCCGTCTTTAAACGTAGAGTGCAAACCTCGATTATTAATCCGGCAAACAAAGCTAATAAACAGCTGATGGTGTAATCGGGAGGTGGGCGTGCTACTGTAAAAGACACGAGGCGCTTTTGTGAAGCAGTTAGTATTTCTGTTTCAGTTCATAGACATTTTGCACTAAATTCTCTTTTGGCTTGGCCTGGTATGAGATAATTGAGTAAACATCAAACAGGAAAAAACGTTTTTAGACGTTTTTAGTAAAGCATGTATTTCTTCCGCTCTCTAGGTCCTTGTGTGCTTATTTCTGATCACTTTGGTAATCTGCATTGAAAGTGCTGGGAGCCCCCGGAGCAAAAGTAAGTTTAGATCGGCTTTGAAGTTTGCCCGGCTTCATGGTAATTTTTAGCAAGTAAAGTAAATAATTAGTAAGAAAAACTGATGCGCTTATAAACTATTGACTGCAAGTTCAGTAGAGTACTTGCCACGCAAATAAAGGCTAAACGGATCTAAACGTACATGTATGGTCAAAAACAAAACAGTAACGATACAATAATAATACATTCCTAATGGCAAACAGTATTTTGTTCTGATAAGCTAATAAAGATGGTGAATTTTAAGCTGGTGAATTTTTCATCTCGGGGACTCAGAATTTTTCTTTGTCCCACGCTCGTGTCATGTTGATTAATTCACCTTCACATTTCATTACCGAGCTTAAAATTCACCATCTTTATTAACTTATTACTACTCACGATGACTTCGATAGCGTTGATCCTAGCAGTATGCAGGACACCTGTCATATATGAACTCAGTTAAATGGCCTAGCTCTCCATGAGTTCTCGTAGTTCAGTGGATAGAGCGCCCGCCCGGTGTTTGGGGGGTCATGGGTTCGATTCCTGTCGGGGACTCGGGAATTTTTCTTTGTCCCACGCTCATGTCATGTTGATTAATTCACTTTCACAGTATTTTATTCTTTTGACAAGCAAACAATTCATTCGATGCCAAAATGTCCAGTTTTAATGTTTCCACGTTCTTGCGTAGGTCGTATGTAGGTGTAGGGTTCACTACTTTAGTTTTCCTTAAGAAGGATATCTGGATATCTTTATTTTCATAATATTTCTTAAATTAGATTGCGATAAGAAATGCAGTGACCTACTCCGACGAGTACAGAAGAACCCACCCACTAAAAGCGCGATCGAAATACACACTGGTCTGTGTAAGGCAAGATACCGCTGTTATAAAGGCTTTAAGTTGGTTGGCAAGGAAATACGGACTTGCAAGGGAGGGGCGTGGATTGAAAGGAAGGAGCCCAAGTGTTATGGTATAATCAATTCCATGCAATTCCTTGTTGCTTTATAGAATCATACGTAAGATTTAATTTGCTTAATTATACTACATAATTTTCCTGGCGCGGAGCAATCAATACTTAACAATAACAAATACAATAGCAAGCAGCATCTTATTTTAAGGTGTTTGTTTCAAAGTTAATGAATGATGTAAACTAATGTATTTGTATTCTGATTCGATACTGAAATGCTGGTAAAGCTAATACATTCAAAGGATCCTGTGGAAAACCTGAAGACATCCCAAACGCCAAGTATACGGGCACGAGTTTCAACTCCAATGATAGGTTGCAGTATAGATGTGAAAAAGGTTACACGCTCATCGGACCTCGAAGAAGAAGATGTGGAGCTGGTGGAAAGTGGTCCAAGGCTCCCAAATGTTTACGTAAGTTAAATTTAGTCACATTTCCCTCAGTAAACAATCTCCCTGAATTCATGAGGGAACTCGGCCTGGGCGTAAACCATGATGTGTCTTGTGGAATCTGGGGAGAGTAAAAACCCACTCGCACACCTCTCCACTATAGAACGAATTTAACACACAAATTACGTAATGTTGGAGCTATGTCAAAATGTGTTGATGGTCTAGATCGATCAAGGGGATTTTAGTTTAAGGATAGTGTCTTTCAGCCGGTAAAATAAAACTTGAATACGACCCGGATTGGTCTCCTTTGGGTCTTTAGGGGTTTGGTTCAATTCAGTCCGACCAGCATCCCAGACCCTTTCATACGGTAGTGACCCAGGGCACTGACTTATAAAAGCTTTGTCAGAGGTACAGTAGCCCTTTATGAAACTTTTAGGGTTATTTTTAACTGGATTGTCTAAAATGAGCTAACCTTGAGGTAACCTGATCAAAAATGGCGTGGGCTAGAACGAGGTAACCAATGCAAACTCCTAGGGGAGCATTTGCTTTGAGTTTTTTTTGTCCATCTTTTCATGTGCACCCTTGCATATTTTCTGTTAGGGCCTTGCGGAAAACCGGAGGATATTCCGCACACCAAGGCTAATGGATCAAGTTATAACTTTGAGGATACTTTGACCTACAGTTGTGAAAAAGGCTACGCCCTAGATGGACCGAAAAGCAGAACCTGTGGTGAAGATGCAAAATGGTCCGTTGGTCCTACCTGTACACGTAAGTCGAGTCAACATGCCATGAATCCCGCCAAAATCTATCGAACGTCCGGTAATCGAACTCATTCGAAGTTCAATCGTTTGATGAATTTCGATTGGGATAAGCAAATCGAATGGAGTCGAATTCGTCAAAACATTTTGCCAATCAGTCGAACACTCAATCGGCCATAATCGAACTCAAGTTGAACTGAAGAGATCAAAAGCAAATGGTTTCGAAATCTTTCATCCATCCTTTCAACAATACTACCTGCATTCACGATGGACTGACAACAAAACTCCCTTGATCGTCCTTAACGACACCTCTAACCCAGAAATGCGTACTCTGCTTTTTCACCTAAGAAAACCTATTATACATTATGAGCCACAGTCCACGAAATTAACATTAGAGGGAGATAAGTACGTTGAATGACATCAGAATGCTTGTTTCAAAAGGCAATTACGTTTTGTCAGTTTCTATCTCAAAGTTGACGGGATGAGCCATATGGCAAGTTTTAGACACCTTGAAAAGCATGACACCATTAGTAAACGTGAAGACACTACTTTTATTTGCGAAATGAAATGTCATTCTGAAAGTTATGAATAGGGGGTCTCTACCCCTGTACTTAGCCGATTTCTATAGAAAAATCAACTATACAAGTGGAAAGTTCAAGTGTGTGTCTGTCTTAGATTTTCCTGGCGTGATCATTCGGGCAAGTGTATTCCATTGGTGGGGTCACCTTTAGAGTTAGTCAATATATTAGTTTATACAGATAAAAAATCATCGTCAGATGGAGAGATTGTATCCACACAACTCTAAAGATGACCTTCTCCCAGTTTTTCGAAGCGCCAATCACCAACAGCTGTTCTTGTCAATACTATCTTACCCCGATTGATCACAGTAGATTCAGTAGACAAAGTTTCTTTGATACCCCTGTTTTCAAATCATTTTCCAGGATTATCTTACAAAACAATATGCCGTATTTTTATTTCCTTTTGCAGCCATCAAGTGCACTCATCCTTTGAAATATCGCAAATGGAAACTTCGAAACGGCAATGTTTCATCCTCTGACCCAGAATTCTTCGAAGGTGCCACTTTGGTATTTGAGTGCAATGAAGGATATGAGCTCAGAGGCAGTGACACTATGACTTGTTTGGAATTTGGTTGGAGACCTCGCAGACCTCCATATTGCCTTAGTAAGCGTTTCCTTCTCGAGTCTAATAAAAAAAAAAAAAAAATCAAATCAATATCCACAGTAAACAACGATGGCTTGGCGGTTTTAATGGAACTGATCATCTTGAGTCATAACCTTTTGTTCAGTTGAGATCAAAGCCAAAAATATTTGTACATAAAAAAAAGGAATGTCTTAGGATGACTTTGAGTTGTTCTGGCTTTGTATGTGAGAGGTTTTGGAATGCTCGAAGGTGTCAGCGCTTATGACACGTTTAGGAAAAAAAGAAACAAACCTTGCTGGTATGATACCACCGTTGGTTGTACTGGCTCAGTTTATGAATTAGGATAACTCCCTTTCTGACACCAACACACTACGAGCAAGATCTCATTGCAGCTCTTGGCCTACTTTTGAAGCTGCCACGAGAGCTTGCTTCCAAGCTATTCAAGCAACAGTTCAGCAGTTAAGGGTCACTAGCAAAATTTGTTTATTTGTCAAACTGTATATTGTGATTTGCAGTTAAAACTTGTACCGACCCTGGGAGACCAGACAATGGTGATCGCTTTGGATATTTCTACGTCGGACGAACGGTACGGTTTTCCTGTCAGTCAGGTTTTGAATTGCATGGCTCCAGGGAAAGAACCTGCTTGGAAAATAAAGAATGGAGTGGCTCTTTGACTACCTGTCAAGACGGAAGTAAGTTGGGCGTGGCAAAGTTTTTGTAAGTAAGAGATAATCGAGTCATTTGTTTGGTCTTCTGGTAACTAGTTACGGCTTTAGAGAGTAATGGTCGTGACTTTCTGGGAACTGCAACTAATGCATTAGAAAATGGGGGATGAGCAGTTATTCGGAAATTTTAAAACCTCTAATACGATTTATAACATAATTTGAAAGCTACAGATATGACGAAATGAATTGTATTTTCCTTTCAGGGTCTGATTGCCCAGTTCTTGGAACTCCCATTAGCGGACGAAAATACGGTAGCAAGTACAATAATGGAGATATCGTTACATTTGAGTGTGACCCTGGATTCGTCCTTAAAGGTTCTGCAGTAAGAAAGTGTTCAGAAAATGGAACTTGGAATGGAACAGAGGCAATTTGTAGAGGTAAGTGCTTCAGAGATGGTTCTCTGCGAATGATCTGAAAAGCAATTCTACAGTTATGTAAAAAATGACATTTCATTAAAATACGAAAAACTAGAAGGTTGATCACCGCATGTATGAATTATATTATCATTAATCTAAATTGCGCCACACTGGGAACTAACTTTCGTGTCTTCCAGATTCTACATCAATCAGTACCTTAAATTGGGCGGGAATGTCCCTAAGTACTGATCACATTTAAAATCAAATCTACATCGCCAATCAAAAGAATTCTCTTGCAGATGAGGTTGAAGATCGCTTTAAAGATGTCAACACCACTGCTTATAACTTTCGAAAAAACCTGATTGATCCTTTGTTGGAATACACGTGCAATAGTGACAACGCGACCGGGTGCAATAAGACAAAGGGCCTTGGGATGGAAATTCGTGGAAGAGCCATTAATCTGAACGTAAATGGCGGACTGGATCTGGTGTTTGTCATTGATGCCTCCAGCAGTGTAAAGAAAGGCACTGATTTTAAGAGTGGCTTGGAATTCGCAAAAGAGCTTGTGAGAACCATTGGAGCCAGCAAAAGGTATGGACCCATGACGCATTGTAGTCAGTCAGTCAGTCAGTCGTGTTTGTTAGCCGAAGACTCAGCTGCATCCAAGGTATTGAGCGTCCGTTTAAGGTTTTCGTGTCTCATCAAGGGTGCGTCCACTGCGTCCAGTCTTGAACATACAGATTACAGTGCATAAACCTTTTTGACATGTGTCTGCGTGCTACGATATTCGATTTCATAGCCTGCAGAGCAGGGGTATTTTGAACGCGCGAGTACACATTTGCCTTCTTGGATTTGTCAACTGTGGAGAATTGGGGCGAGGAAAAATTGCCCAGGGAGAAGGCCTCCTCTGCCTCAACCCCTACCGGTCAAGCATCCAATTGCAACCCAAGATAGCGGCATCCAAAACACGGTTTATCGAGCGTTCCGTTCCAAAATGACGCATGCACTGCAGGCTAATTTCAATGGAACGCTATTTTACACTTCGTACGAAAAGCTGAGAAGAGACCTTGGAACGGCCATGTGTTTTACAAATTTTATAATCCCTTGCTATTGCTTCAGTTGCTTATGAAAAAGCTATGCTACAGTAGTCTTAAGTCTTTCTCCAACCATGCCGTACCAAATCTGTGTGATCCATTATCACAGACCAATAATAGTGGGCGAAGGAGTTAAAAGAATTGGCAATCGCAAACGAATTTTAGATTGTTCTCAGTTCAACAAACAATCTCAAAGTACTACTGTTATCAAATATTTCTCTCATTCAAGTTAACATTGTCAAAACTTGTCCATAAATCTTGCGTTACCAGGGCAACTGATCCTGTTCGTTAATGAACGATTCGAAACGATACTTCTATTTCCAATCGATCACTGATTCTTCTTACAATACATAAATTTCGACTTTATCTTTAGCTTCGAATGTACATGTCAGGCTCGTCAGAGATGCTTAATAGAACGTGTTGATTATGGCATTTGAAATCCTTTGAAATTCTTGAAATCTCCTGTACAAGTCCACTGCAATATTCCATTTAATATACCATTTTATTTTATTTTAAATTAATAATTAGATGAAACCATTTTTGGTCATTTTACACAACCGGTGTCTAAAATTTTGCATGGGCACAGCAAAACTCCACTTGGAACAGAGACCCTTTTATGAGCAATTATCTAAAGAAGGATAATTGCTCACTATCGTTTGTCGTTATGTTTTTTTTTTCCAGGGCCGACGGAACCAGAATAGCAGCAGTGTCATTTGGTACTGAAGCAAGACTCGAGTTCAACTTGGGAGAGGCCACCGTGAATACGATGGAAAAGGCCATCGAAGCCATTGACAAAATAATGTACATGGGAGGGGCTACTGCGTCCGCACTTGCTTTGGAAATGGTGAGGAAAGTAGTTGTACCACAAGCTCGTTTAGACAGCCACCGGGTGATGATGTTTATCACAGACGGAATGTCGAACATCGGTGGTCCTCCCCAGAAGGCAGCAGAATATCTTCGCGAGAACGAAAAATTTGAAATTTATGCAATAGGTGAGATGGTTCATCTCCCACAGTCATGTGAATGAATCAGAACTTATATTTAATAGTTAGTAAGGAACGTTGGTTTGAAACGAAGGTTTAGTTCAGTCGCGTTCATACGATGTAATAGTGGATATTTACTTTTTTTGTTTTACAATGGATGAGTTGCTCTTATAAGGTTGAAAAAAGCAAACGCGACTGTTAAAAAGGACTCATCAAGGCTGTCTTCGTCGGTGTTGTAAGTTATAGAGACAAACTACAATAAATTCGACGATAAGTAACTAGTCCTGTCACACTGTACGAGTTCTGCCGAAAGTACATGGCCAAGCATCCACCGGAGTGGCCCAAATAAATTATCAGGGTCAACTTGGGGGGAGTCCCCACAGGTCCAAACATTACAACAGTCGGCTCTCGTACAATTTATTCAACATGACGTTATTTAAGCAGTTATTGACTCTTAGGCTTGCAATGAACACTCGTTGAACTATTTGTTTAATTTTGAGCTTAAGTCAGTTAAGAAGGAAGAAACCATAAATTTGTTTAAAAGTACCAGAGGCATTTTTTGTAGTTTAAATGTTAATTTAATATCCATTCACGTTGTTCAAGGTGTTGGAAAAAAGGTTCGCATTCGTGAACTGATGGGCATTGCGTCTGCTGACGAAAACGACGACCACGTGATCTCCGTCAAAAAATATAAAACTTTGCAGGAAGCCATCAAGAAAGCGGTGTACATAAAGATAGGTACGTCAAATAGCTTGTCTTCCATTGTTTTTTATTTTGCCTCGAAATTTCCTTTTGGAATGAATGTTCAATTTAAAATTTATTCGAAGTACCCAACATTTTAGTTGAGGCTTGAGGTCATTAAACTGAAAAGTTGGGACTAATTCATTTCTATTTTCAAACTTTTGTTGCATTTTTATAGATTATTCTCCTTGTGGTGTGAGTCCAGTAGAATTTAGAGCTCGAATGGTTGGAGGTAAAAACTCTAAAAGAGGATGGTGGCCCTGGCAGATTGGACTATACAAAAATAACGATGAAGGTAAATTGAAATCAGATTTTGTTGTTTTCGTTTGCTGGGAATATGGAAAGATGACGTCCTATTTGAATACACCTGTAGCTTCACCTGAGAATTCATCATAGACAATTCAAACGTCAGCGATTTTTTTACAGAGGGCTCTGAAGGCCCCATTTTCCACCTTCAGGCCGCCTTTTTAACGGAAGTTTAAATAACCTGCAAGTAAAAATGTACGTGTTCACAATTATTTTGTTCCACATACGACAAACAGAATGCGCAATTAACTGTTTCGTGAAAGAGCAGAATTTGTAAAAACTCTTCTTCATCTTTTGAGATTGGATACATTTCTTTTATCCTCTTGTTTGCTCTATGGTTTTAATTCCTCCAGGACTACAGCTTATTTGTGGTGGTGCTCTGATATCTCGTCGCTGGATTCTGACTGCAGCCCATTGTTTTTACCACTGGAATCCAATATTTCGGAGATATCGATTCAGTGGAGACACTGGAGAGTAAGTGAGCTAACCGCTTTTTCTTTTCGTTAATCCTAATACACGTCATTCTCTATCTTTGTCTTTTTGTCCATCCGCTCGTTTGTTTCTTCTGTCCGATTGACCATTATTTATATTTGATTAACTTGGCTATCTAAGCTACAAGCTTATTCTAGCATTTGCAGTCTTCCTTGAGGATTCCAAGGAATTTAGCCAAAGATTGGGATGTAATTTTATAGACTAATTAACACTTTGCGAGTGTTCTTGGGGGTTCAGATGCACTTCATTAGGTTTGTCAAATGAAAATAATGATACCATTCGCTTTTCAAAATACTTGCGAAAGTACTGAAGACCCAGTGCGTCTACGAAAAAAAAGATAAAAACATCTGTTGCCACATGATGAAACGCTTATTGACTCAGATAAGTCTGGCTGGACTGGAAAATATTTGCCTTTCCGTCAGGACATCGGTCTGTTAGTCTTGCCCTTGCGCATGCCACTACAAATATTTTGCGGTTTGGCGCTCCCACTCAGTCAATAAGTATACATATTATCTTTTCTCTAGATACCTGGTAAAAGCCGGTGACCACAACTTAAATAGGGATGAACGATCTCAACAGGACATTCACCCAGAGAAGTTCTTTGTTCACCAAGATTACGTGCATGATCTTAAATACGTGAATGACATTGCTCTCATCAAACTCAAAGACAAAGTGGAACTCAGCCCTTTTGTGCGAACTCTGTGTCTTCCAGAAAAGGATGAAGGCGATTTGGCAATCCCCACGAAATACGGATTTGTAACTGGGTGGGGTGTAACACAAGCCTTGAAACTTGGTGAGGACCCCGAGCCTGAAAACAGATACTCAACGCGTCTTCAATACTCTGCTTACACAATTCAAAGTGACCAACTATGTGCAAACAGATCCGTGATTGCTATTAACTCTACCGTGGCGTTTTGTGCCGGAGATGGAAAAGGTGGAAACGATACATGTCATGGTGACAGTGGTGGAGCTTTTGTTCGAGAAGGAAAAAGAGGAGAGGACTTCAGATGGGTGGCAACTGGACTCGTCAGCTGGGGTTCGGGTTGTGCACAAAAGGACCAGTATGGATACTACACAAGGGTGTATCCATTCACTGATTGGATAAAGAATACTATTAAGGAAAATACCGAGGCAGACGACTGAGCTTTGTTAGTATTGTCATGCACTCGCGCACATAGAAAGCAAAACCACTACTGTTTAAAGCATTGTTATCGTCTTCTTTTTCTGAAATGCATTGATCAACGTANAAAAAAAAAAAAAAAATCAAATCAATATCCACAGTAAACAACGATGGCTTGGCGGTTTTAATGGAACTGATCATCTTGAGTCATAACCTTTTGTTCAGTTGAGATCAAAGCCAAAAATATTTGTACATAAAAAAAAGGAATGTCTTAGGATGACTTTGAGTTGTTCTGGCTTTGTATGTGAGAGGTTTTGGAATGCTCGAAGGTGTCAGCGCTTATGACACGTTTAGGAAAAAAAGAAACAAACCTTGCTGGTATGATACCACCGTTGGTTGTACTGGCTCAGTTTATGAATTAGGATAACTCCCTTTCTGACACCAACACACTACGAGCAAGATCTCATTGCAGCTCTTGGCCTACTTTTGAAGCTGCCACGAGAGCTTGCTTCCAAGCTATTCAAGCAACAGTTCAGCAGTTAAGGGTCACTAGCAAAATTTGTTTATTTGTCAAACTGTATATTGTGATTTGCAGTTAAAACTTGTACCGACCCTGGGAGACCAGACAATGGTGATCGCTTTGGATATTTCTACGTCGGACGAACGGTACGGTTTTCCTGTCAGTCAGGTTTTGAATTGCATGGCTCCAGGGAAAGAACCTGCTTGGAAAATAAAGAATGGAGTGGCTCTTTGACTACCTGTCAAGACGGAAGTAAGTTGGGCGTGGCAAAGTTTTTGTAAGTAAGAGATAATCGAGTCATTTGTTTGGTCTTCTGGTAACTAGTTACGGCTTTAGAGAGTAATGGTCGTGACTTTCTGGGAACTGCAACTAATGCATTAGAAAATGGGGGATGAGCAGTTATTCGGAAATTTTAAAACCTCTAATACGATTTATAACATAATTTGAAAGCTACAGATATGACGAAATGAATTGTATTTTCCTTTCAGGGTCTGATTGCCCAGTTCTTGGAACTCCCATTAGCGGACGAAAATACGGTAGCAAGTACAATAATGGAGATATCGTTACATTTGAGTGTGACCCTGGATTCGTCCTTAAAGGTTCTGCAGTAAGAAAGTGTTCAGAAAATGGAACTTGGAATGGAACAGAGGCAATTTGTAGAGGTAAGTGCTTCAGAGATGGTTCTCTGCGAATGATCTGAAAAGCAATTCTACAGTTATGTAAAAAATGACATTTCATTAAAATACGAAAAACTAGAAGGTTGATCACCGCATGTATGAATTATATTATCATTAATCTAAATTGCGCCACACTGGGAACTAACTTTCGTGTCTTCCAGATTCTACATCAATCAGTACCTTAAATTGGGCGGGAATGTCCCTAAGTACTGATCACATTTAAAATCAAATCTACATCGCCAATCAAAAGAATTCTCTTGCAGATGAGGTTGAAGATCGCTTTAAAGATGTCAACACCACTGCTTATAACTTTCGAAAAAACCTGATTGATCCTTTGTTGGAATACACGTGCAATAGTGACAACGCGACCGGGTGCAATAAGACAAAGGGCCTTGGGATGGAAATTCGTGGAAGAGCCATTAATCTGAACGTAAATGGCGGACTGGATCTGGTGTTTGTCATTGATGCCTCCAGCAGTGTAAAGAAAGGCACTGATTTTAAGAGTGGCTTGGAATTCGCAAAAGAGCTTGTGAGAACCATTGGAGCCAGCAAAAGGTATGGACCCATGACGCATTGTAGTCAGTCAGTCAGTCAGTCGTGTTTGTTAGCCGAAGACTCAGCTGCATCCAAGGTATTGAGCGTCCGTTTAAGGTTTTCGTGTCTCATCAAGGGTGCGTCCACTGCGTCCAGTCTTGAACATACAGATTACAGTGCATAAACCTTTTTGACATGTGTCTGCGTGCTACGATATTCGATTTCATAGCCTGCAGAGCAGGGGTATTTTGAACGCGCGAGTACACATTTGCCTTCTTGGATTTGTCAACTGTGGAGAATTGGGGCGAGGAAAAATTGCCCAGGGAGAAGGCCTCCTCTGCCTCAACCCCTACCGGTCAAGCATCCAATTGCAACCCAAGATAGCGGCATCCAAAACACGGTTTATCGAGCGTTCCGTTCCAAAATGACGCATGCACTGCAGGCTAATTTCAATGGAACGCTATTTTACACTTCGTACGAAAAGCTGAGAAGAGACCTTGGAACGGCCATGTGTTTTACAAATTTTATAATCCCTTGCTATTGCTTCAGTTGCTTATGAAAAAGCTATGCTACAGTAGTCTTAAGTCTTTCTCCAACCATGCCGTACCAAATCTGTGTGATCCATTATCACAGACCAATAATAGTGGGCGAAGGAGTTAAAAGAATTGGCAATCGCAAACGAATTTTAGATTGTTCTCAGTTCAACAAACAATCTCAAAGTACTACTGTTATCAAATATTTCTCTCATTCAAGTTAACATTGTCAAAACTTGTCCATAAATCTTGCGTTACCAGGGCAACTGATCCTGTTCGTTAATGAACGATTCGAAACGATACTTCTATTTCCAATCGATCACTGATTCTTCTTACAATACATAAATTTCGACTTTATCTTTAGCTTCGAATGTACATGTCAGGCTCGTCAGAGATGCTTAATAGAACGTGTTGATTATGGCATTTGAAATCCTTTGAAATTCTTGAAATCTCCTGTACAAGTCCACTGCAATATTCCATTTAATATACCATTTTATTTTATTTTAAATTAATAATTAGATGAAACCATTTTTGGTCATTTTACACAACCGGTGTCTAAAATTTTGCATGGGCACAGCAAAACTCCACTTGGAACAGAGACCCTTTTATGAGCAATTATCTAAAGAAGGATAATTGCTCACTATCGTTTGTCGTTATGTTTTTTTTTTCCAGGGCCGACGGAACCAGAATAGCAGCAGTGTCATTTGGTACTGAAGCAAGACTCGAGTTCAACTTGGGAGAGGCCACCGTGAATACGATGGAAAAGGCCATCGAAGCCATTGACAAAATAATGTACATGGGAGGGGCTACTGCGTCCGCACTTGCTTTGGAAATGGTGAGGAAAGTAGTTGTACCACAAGCTCGTTTAGACAGCCACCGGGTGATGATGTTTATCACAGACGGAATGTCGAACATCGGTGGTCCTCCCCAGAAGGCAGCAGAATATCTTCGCGAGAACGAAAAATTTGAAATTTATGCAATAGGTGAGATGGTTCATCTCCCACAGTCATGTGAATGAATCAGAACTTATATTTAATAGTTAGTAAGGAACGTTGGTTTGAAACGAAGGTTTAGTTCAGTCGCGTTCATACGATGTAATAGTGGATATTTACTTTTTTTGTTTTACAATGGATGAGTTGCTCTTATAAGGTTGAAAAAAGCAAACGCGACTGTTAAAAAGGACTCATCAAGGCTGTCTTCGTCGGTGTTGTAAGTTATAGAGACAAACTACAATAAATTCGACGATAAGTAACTAGTCCTGTCACACTGTACGAGTTCTGCCGAAAGTACATGGCCAAGCATCCACCGGAGTGGCCCAAATAAATTATCAGGGTCAACTTGGGGGGAGTCCCCACAGGTCCAAACATTACAACAGTCGGCTCTCGTACAATTTATTCAACATGACGTTATTTAAGCAGTTATTGACTCTTAGGCTTGCAATGAACACTCGTTGAACTATTTGTTTAATTTTGAGCTTAAGTCAGTTAAGAAGGAAGAAACCATAAATTTGTTTAAAAGTACCAGAGGCATTTTTTGTAGTTTAAATGTTAATTTAATATCCATTCACGTTGTTCAAGGTGTTGGAAAAAAGGTTCGCATTCGTGAACTGATGGGCATTGCGTCTGCTGACGAAAACGACGACCACGTGATCTCCGTCAAAAAATATAAAACTTTGCAGGAAGCCATCAAGAAAGCGGTGTACATAAAGATAGGTACGTCAAATAGCTTGTCTTCCATTGTTTTTTATTTTGCCTCGAAATTTCCTTTTGGAATGAATGTTCAATTTAAAATTTATTCGAAGTACCCAACATTTTAGTTGAGGCTTGAGGTCATTAAACTGAAAAGTTGGGACTAATTCATTTCTATTTTCAAACTTTTGTTGCATTTTTATAGATTATTCTCCTTGTGGTGTGAGTCCAGTAGAATTTAGAGCTCGAATGGTTGGAGGTAAAAACTCTAAAAGAGGATGGTGGCCCTGGCAGATTGGACTATACAAAAATAACGATGAAGGTAAATTGAAATCAGATTTTGTTGTTTTCGTTTGCTGGGAATATGGAAAGATGACGTCCTATTTGAATACACCTGTAGCTTCACCTGAGAATTCATCATAGACAATTCAAACGTCAGCGATTTTTTTACAGAGGGCTCTGAAGGCCCCATTTTCCACCTTCAGGCCGCCTTTTTAACGGAAGTTTAAATAACCTGCAAGTAAAAATGTACGTGTTCACAATTATTTTGTTCCACATACGACAAACAGAATGCGCAATTAACTGTTTCGTGAAAGAGCAGAATTTGTAAAAACTCTTCTTCATCTTTTGAGATTGGATACATTTCTTTTATCCTCTTGTTTGCTCTATGGTTTTAATTCCTCCAGGACTACAGCTTATTTGTGGTGGTGCTCTGATATCTCGTCGCTGGATTCTGACTGCAGCCCATTGTTTTTACCACTGGAATCCAATATTTCGGAGATATCGATTCAGTGGAGACACTGGAGAGTAAGTGAGCTAACCGCTTTTTCTTTTCGTTAATCCTAATACACGTCATTCTCTATCTTTGTCTTTTTGTCCATCCGCTCGTTTGTTTCTTCTGTCCGATTGACCATTATTTATATTTGATTAACTTGGCTATCTAAGCTACAAGCTTATTCTAGCATTTGCAGTCTTCCTTGAGGATTCCAAGGAATTTAGCCAAAGATTGGGATGTAATTTTATAGACTAATTAACACTTTGCGAGTGTTCTTGGGGGTTCAGATGCACTTCATTAGGTTTGTCAAATGAAAATAATGATACCATTCGCTTTTCAAAATACTTGCGAAAGTACTGAAGACCCAGTGCGTCTACGAAAAAAAAGATAAAAACATCTGTTGCCACATGATGAAACGCTTATTGACTCAGATAAGTCTGGCTGGACTGGAAAATATTTGCCTTTCCGTCAGGACATCGGTCTGTTAGTCTTGCCCTTGCGCATGCCACTACAAATATTTTGCGGTTTGGCGCTCCCACTCAGTCAATAAGTATACATATTATCTTTTCTCTAGATACCTGGTAAAAGCCGGTGACCACAACTTAAATAGGGATGAACGATCTCAACAGGACATTCACCCAGAGAAGTTCTTTGTTCACCAAGATTACGTGCATGATCTTAAATACGTGAATGACATTGCTCTCATCAAACTCAAAGACAAAGTGGAACTCAGCCCTTTTGTGCGAACTCTGTGTCTTCCAGAAAAGGATGAAGGCGATTTGGCAATCCCCACGAAATACGGATTTGTAACTGGGTGGGGTGTAACACAAGCCTTGAAACTTGGTGAGGACCCCGAGCCTGAAAACAGATACTCAACGCGTCTTCAATACTCTGCTTACACAATTCAAAGTGACCAACTATGTGCAAACAGATCCGTGATTGCTATTAACTCTACCGTGGCGTTTTGTGCCGGAGATGGAAAAGGTGGAAACGATACATGTCATGGTGACAGTGGTGGAGCTTTTGTTCGAGAAGGAAAAAGAGGAGAGGACTTCAGATGGGTGGCAACTGGACTCGTCAGCTGGGGTTCGGGTTGTGCACAAAAGGACCAGTATGGATACTACACAAGGGTGTATCCATTCACTGATTGGATAAAGAATACTATTAAGGAAAATACCGAGGCAGACGACTGAGCTTTGTTAGTATTGTCATGCACTCGCGCACATAGAAAGCAAAACCACTACTGTTTAAAGCATTGTTATCGTCTTCTTTTTCTGAAATGCATTGATCAACGTAATATTAGACAGTTTAAATATACATATACAGTTTTAAAGTGAACAAAAAATACCACCAAAAAATTTCCAACGGCGAATACAGTTATCTTTCATAGCTAAATGAAACCTATTCCAGGACGATGCGTGACGCAAAGACATGAAAGGCATCAAAATTTGAAGACCTCAAAATTCTGGAATAACATCAGAAACTTGCTAGTGAGTTTTAAATAAATTGCTGCGAAATCTTGCTTCAATTATTCGATTGTTTCTTTCGTCATAATTTGAATCTAACTGCAATAAAAATCTATGTAAGATACGACTTGTTTTTGGCTAGTGCAAACAAAATGAAATATTACCATAGAGAGCGATGTAAAGTACAATAAAATAGCAATTAAGTGCATTTGTCAAATACTTTTCCTCTGTTAAATATTTCATTTTTTCTTTATCTCAATATCCAAAACTCGTGAATTCTGGTCTGGGTTTAAATCCCTCCTGCTGTTAATTTACCTTGGTGTCAGTTTGTGAGTACATATAAATAGTATCGACGTCGACCGAGTGAAAACAGGAACTGAGCAGTAACTATTCTAGTGCGTGTCCTAGTTGATGGAAAGCCGCCTGATGATCATCTGGGTTTAAAAGTTAATCACGTTTTCCATTACTATTATCCAAAGCTATTTGTCATGCTAACCTTAGGCTACTATTTGACACTTTNGTGGCAACTGGACTCGTCAGCTGGGGTTCGGGTTGTGCACAAAAGGACCAGTATGGATACTACACAAGGGTGTATCCATTCACTGATTGGATAAAGAATACTATTAAGGAAAATACCAAGGCAGATGACTGAGCCTTGTTAGTGCTGTGATGCACTCGCGCACACAGAAAACAAAATCACTACTTTTTAAAGCATTGTTATCGACTTCTTTTTCCGAAATGCACTGATCAACGTAAAATTAGACAGTTTAAATATATGCAGTTTTAAAATGAACAAAAAATACCACCAGAAAATTCTCAACGGCAAATACAGTTATCTTTCATAGCTAAATGCAACTTATTCCAGGATGATGCGTGACTCAAAGACATCGAAGGCATCAAAATATGAAGACATCAAAATTCTGGAATAACGACAGAAACTTGCTAGTGGGTTTTAAATAAATTGCTGGGTAAATCGTGCTTCTATTATTCGGTTGTTTCTTTCGACATAATCTGAATCTAACTGCAATAAAAATCTATTGAAGATTTGACTTGTTTTTGGCTAGCGCACACAAAATGAAATATTACTATAGAGAGCGATGTAAAGTACAATAAAATAGCAATTAAGTACATTGGTCAAATACTTTTACTTTGTTAAATATTTCATTTTTTCTTTATCTCAATATCCAAAACTCGTGATTTCTGGTCTGGGTTTAAATTCCTCCTGCTGTTAATTTATCTTGGTATCAGTTTGTTAGTGCACATAAATAGTATCGACGTCGACCGAGTGAAAACAGGAACTGAGCAGTAACTATTCTAGTGTCCTACAGTGTAGTTGATGGAAAGCTGCATGATGATCATCTGGCTTTAAAAGTTAATCTTGTTTTCCATTACTATTATCCAAAGCTATTTGTCATGCTAACCTTAGGCTACTATTTGACACTTTTAAATTTAACTCACAAAGACTTTCCCTGAATTGAATCGCTAAGCAAGAACAATAAGTATCTTCCTTATAATGAAAAAATTGTTATACCTTCTACCTCTCGAAAATAACTAATTTGAAACGCTGCAAGCGACTGTAAAACGGCCTTAGACGGCTGACGTTCGAAACCCGGCGGAGACTCCTATATGAAAAGGTCGCGGATGCTCGTCGTTTCGGGTACAAATCAAGGATTCTGGTCTCACTTCAGTTGTTGATGAACGGGTGGTGAATGGTCCTTAAAAAACTCTGGGTCTCGCAAAATGTTAGTCGAATTTCACGGGTCTCGCCGTCTCGTGTTTTAGCGGTTATGTGCGTCTCGCAGTCTCGATTTTTATACAAAGCTGTCTCGGAGTCTCGATGTTTCGCAAAGCTAAAGGGTTTCAAAGTCCCGATTCGTTCGTTTACCTCAGGTTTTATAAATGACGCCTTCTCTATAATTGACATTGAATTTCAATGAAGGAACTTACAAATTTCCGAGAAAAAGTTAATCCTAACTTCTCCTAAATATCAATTGTCTGAATTCCACAAAAAGCTACAGAACATCTTGCAACGTCCGTTTTGGCTCCAGTAAAACAGTTATTTTGTTCTCCGATATCATAACGTAGTGTGTTATAATTGAATTTCCAGTTCCAGCCAGTTTGAGGAAGCTGGCTAAAAGGCTGCACAAGCTCGCTCTAGCTCTCAACTAAATCTGGGGCCCGAATTTTAAGAGTCTGAACGTCTTGCGCTCGCACGTCAAACCCTTTGAAGTCTCGGTCTCGCAGAGGAAAACGCTTGTCTCGCCGTCTCGCGCAGTCTCGCATTTACCATTCGCCACCCCTTGATGACGAATCGTCACCACTTTTAGCTGTCAAAGTATCCTTTAAGATGCAATCGAGGAAATAATAATAAAAGAAACGTTCTCATTTAATTTCTGTTTTCAGGCTTGATTTCCGCTGTTCTCTTGAGTACGCGAGTCGGGTCTACAAGTGTGCGCGGGATCCTTTCTTTAACAGTGGCTAGTAATCAAACCTATTCTGTTTTAGGCGGTATCTTTTAGGGGTCTAATGAAGCTCAACAACGTCCACATTAGTCTCCCTTAGGAGTTAAATTCAACTTGTCTGACGAGTATCCCTTGCCTTTTCACATGGGAGTTCCCCCGGGTTTCCAAATGTCTAACGGCAAGTGAAGGAGTGAAGGAGTGAATTGAAGGAGTGAAGAGTAGTATAGGGCGCTTAAATGACCGGTAACCAATCAGAAGCCGAGAAAGACAATAGGCTATTGTTTGGAGAGCAATGGATTCTATTGCTCTCCAAATACACGATGGCCACCACAAATTTCAGCCAATCAGAAAGTGAGTTGGGATCATGTGACGTCACCAAGATGGGGGCGCCCACGAAAGTGCGGCCATGTTGGAAACAGCTCACTAGCCTCGACCGAGGACTGGGATCGGTCTTACCGATTTCCATGGCGACACAAATCACGCCAGGGTCACGCAAGAATGTCACGCAACTTCAAAATCGATACTTACAGTGTCCTGTGGTCCTAAACGGCAGATGTCCGTCCTGCAAGCGCCATGATGAAGACTGCGAGACTTGGGTCCTAGGTCTGACTATAGGGTGGCTGTCCCAAAGTATCATGGGACGATGACCTCATCGGTATCCAATTAGAATAAATTAAAACATTGGCTCCTCCCCAGTGACCTCTCTTAAAGAGAGCATTAATCGAAACATCACACAATGTCAAATGTCACGAACTTTAATATCAAAACTTTTGTTAGAAGTTTAAGCATTTAAACTGTGGTTAATGAGCTCTGTAGTCTACATCATAGC